AACAAGTACAATGAACAAACATGCTTCCCGTTTTGGACGCATTGAGCGCTCTAAACCGTAATCTCTCCTTGCTGGATGATGCCCTCGGCTTTGGCATAGGTAGTGGCGAAGGTTAGGGCTACAGTATTTTTTCATAAACGTCCCCAACATGACGTAGGCGCGAGTCAAATTGGTAGTTTTTCAGAATAGAACTCACTAATAAAAGGCGTTTGTCATTACGGCGGCATACTGTAGGAAGTAGAGTATCGGCAGCCATATGCCAATGCCTGAAAACACATCACAAAATGGTTTACCAATTAAGTTCATCACTTCTTTGTGAAGGTTTACCGGATGCCATCATTGGTATCGGGCGTCGGTTGAGCCACAACAGTCGTAGAGCGTCTACACGAAGATCGATGATACCGATTACCAGGGCGAGCAGTGGAGCCAATGGAAACAACGCAGCGAACATCTGAAATTAGCGAAAGGAATTCAGCCCAAATTTTAGGTATCTTATTTGGGGCAGAATGTGCATGTAAATAAGGTGGTGATCTTAGTTTTACATGTCCCATAAGGTCCGCTTTCCCCTGTATAACCACAAGTAATGGGAGCACTATTACTGTCAAGGTCGAGACTCACGTCGAACGCCGGGTAGGCTAACCGAGCCTTTCACCCCTCCGTGGTTGATAAAATGGCACCGGTTTGGAAAGGCTAGGAACATTGAATTATGTCGACTGGCCCCCGAATCCCTGTGTAAGCTAAACAGCATGGATGTACCACGACGATTCAGAACGAAGGTGAAGTGCGTGGCGCATCACAAGCGACGTATGGAAGAACGCCGGATGCTTCATCCTCTTCTATCTTTTAAGGGTTGTTGTTGGGACAACTTTGCCCTTACCATGGCTCTTCGCGAAGATATCAAATTGTTTTTTGCGGATTAAGTTTCCAAGGGGATAAGGGAGTAGTTTGAGACCACTACTGCTTTACTACCCCTCCCCCATCATTTCTGATAAGATGGAGTCTATCCCTGGAAAGCTACGCCTTTCATCCCTCGGAGTCAGTAAGTAAGTTCTAGACTCGTCTAGCACATTGAAAACCAAGGATATTTGAACGGTAGTTGCCATTACACAGAGCAAAGCACGTATTCAATTGTCGCTACGATTCTGACAATAGGTCTGTGCGTGGCGTATCCCAAAAGGGATAATATCAAGTGTGTCATACTTTTAATATTTTTGTAGAGATCATGATATGAAACCAACCTGGTAGTTACCCGAAAACTAGGATGACTGAACTCTCTTTTCGCTGTTGAATCTCCCCATAGATAGAAATCACCGAACGATGCCCTTCTCATGATCAACAGCGTTTGTCCTCGTCCTTTCACCCATATTAACGTTCCGCCATGCATGGTCTGGCCGCCCGCCCTTATATGCATCTTCGACACTCTGACAGCGTGCACCACGTATCTAAAAGAACCTGATGAATACTTCGAATAAAACCAAAGCCCTGGACAACGACACGGTACTTTAGTCCCGAATGGTACAATCAGAACGGCGTTTCATTCGACGACAGTGATCGCCATGGCTGGAGGGCGGTGCGGTTTGGTGACTACTACCAGTGAATATTCAACTGACATCAGCAAACTCGAGGCAGGGTCAACCGTCCGTTGGACAAAGTCCAACGCGACGACGAGAGTAATGCCGAGAGTGAACGTACGCACGGAGACACAGACGGCTCGCGGGTGGCGAGAGTGAATGCCGGCGCGGAGAGCGGTCAACATCGGTCCAACGTCGCTCCAATATCGGTCCAACGTAACGGTTGACCCCTGCTCCGAAGCTTCCCGTCTCATGAGAATCTTTGCGTAACACTCGCTTTGAAGGGACATTCCTCGGCGCTTATGTCGTTGGGAGGAAGGGGGAGGGAGGAGAGGACATTCAAATGAGTGAACCACTCATATTAAGCATAAGAGGGGGAAGGGGATTCTGGGAAAGCATGTCAACAATTCTTGTTCTCCCTGGTGCTCCTCCCATCTCTTGGGCTTAGTCGTAGTGTCACCTACCAGCGGTTTTTGAATTCTCTGCTTTAAGTATCCCACCACCCCCAAGAGCACCCATTTTTCGATTGCCTATGTGTAGAATTGCGCCATAAATGAAAGTGGATGGTAATTGATCGGCGACTAGAACTGAGAAAAAAGTTAATAGCCAAGTGGACTCAAACACTGCTTTTCCGATTGTATGGGCGGAGATTGCAACCTTCTCATTGGTCACCGTTGCCCTTAAAGGAGGAATTCACGATAAGAACGAAGGTCAAAGAAGGGGAAAATTGCATAGTTGGGAGACAGGCGGACCTCCTGAGGGTGCTGACCGACGCGCAATTGGCAGCGAAAGATTTGACCTCGGCGATCTAGCATGGCTCACTCTTGGCGCGGTTGGCGGGGTACGCCCACCGACTATCTAATCACTCGCCGCAGGTCTACGTGGCGAGTGATTAGAGAAGAGGGCACAGCGATGAGAGTCGCATCAATGCGCAAATCAACGGGCAAGGAAGGGGTCCCATTTCTCGGGTTTCGGGCCGTTTCAAATGGTTTCTTCTTCATCCCTGCTCCACTGACCACCTCTACCCTTATTTCCAATGAGCTAACTTTTCATCGTAAATTCTGCCTTTGAAACGGTGAGATTTGATAAATGAAGGGTTGTTCAATGAGAAGATCGCAGTTCCCACCCAAGCCCTTTCGATATGCTGTTACAAGGGTTCTTCACACATCTGTTTGTTCTCTTCATAATTGTTCAACTAACTACATCATCCGTTTTATTCCATTTTCGGGCGCAAAGTACCGGAAATGGCGGAGGCATTCACAAAATGTGTCCTAAGTTTTTTTGGCAGTGAAAAGTGATCTTAAGCTTTTTCACTCACGGAATAACAATATCCTTGGTGAATTTCGGCAATGGCTTGATGATCATATGCGAAATGAGTTGCAGAGCCAGCAATGAACCGCATGTGCCTGGCAGGCAGATATCCTTGTACCTGTCGCCCATGCCGAAAAGTCCATTTACTTGGAAACCCTTAATATTCTTACAGTAACTCTGCTGGATGTATTATGCATAGTAAGGTCAGAAGGAGACCTACGTTGTTTTCAGGGCGTATGAAGGCGACATAAAAAAGAGATGGCACTAAAAGAGATGTGTAGTTGTTGACAAGCTGTAGTGCGAACATTTTGATAACGAGCGCATTGTGGTATTCAGAGTTGGTACGGTGATTTTCTGAACATTTTGATTACGGATTATGTAGGCGCTAGTTAATACTATACGTTTAGTCGAATTGTCCTGCAGAGGAAATTATTAAAAGCTTATTGCAAGAATGTAATTAGAATTAGTGAAAATTAGAGGTGTTAGACGAGTATCCTATATAATACAAGTTCTGTAGAAGAAGAGCAGTCTAACGTCATCTTTCAAGGATGTACTTTACAGAGAACTACCACTGGTGTATCTTTCACAGCCATCATAGATGCTCAAGAATTCATGGTGATACCGTTTTCATGAGGATGTACGCGCAACACCGAACATTCGAAGTGTACTGAAAGCAAAGTTCTATTAGGTGGTTTCATACGAGGCTTCTTTAGGGTCGGCGGCTATGGAGTTGATGTGAGGTAGGGGATAAAACTGTCACATTTGGCTAGCGCGGTCCAATAGGTTGGGAGGAACATCGTCTCGGTGGGATCAAAGGCAGTGAACGCGATGACTGAAAAGCAGAAAGGTTTTGATGATGTCGTTGCGCTCTATTAGTGGAAAGGGGTTGAGAGGTGATCGCGACTTTATCACTAGCGCTCAAGGAGCTCTGGTTCACCATTGTTGTCCAATGGCGTCATCGAACCTGCTTCGATTTCCACCTATTGTGTTCCCTGCCCTTGGAATCTGAGCAGAATGTCATGGGCCACAACACTGAAGAAAGAAGCGAACAAAAAGAGGCAGGATGCAAAATTGTGCTGAGTAGGGTTACCCTTTTATAATTGGGTCAGTTCGTAGTACGGGACTACGGCGAACAGAGTGCATGTCTAGACAGAAGACTGACAACAAAGAGAGGAGAGAGGACGAGAGACGTAGACAGGGCGAGGACAGCTTGGAAAGGCGACGGAAATGACAGCATTTTGGATCTACGATTATGTTTTTGAGCAGCCCTACGTCGAACTGACGGCATGTATCACCTCCTTCGGTCCTTTCCTATATTTCCACTATATGGCGTCTTACGTGGAACAAGCCTTGAAAATTCACTCAGATTAATTACCTTATATTGCTTCGGGGTCTACATCGAAGTACCCTCACAAGTCTCCAAACAAAATTAGTATGATACAGGATTTATTTTTCGATTTTCTCGTCGTCTGATATGGCCTGAGGGTGAAGTCGGACGAAAGAAGCCATTCGCCGCCATCTACTCATTGTACAATCTAGGTTGTTTGTAGAATACTTACCTCTTTTTCGCACTCATTACTTGATACTGCCCATAGCTTATAAAGAGTAACGAGGAATACGCTGAGGATTACCAAGCACATGCTCAGAATGACGGCGATGCATGAAACAGTGTACTTGAAAATTCGTACCATAACAGGACTGAAGTACTCCGGTTGTCCTGTTATTGGATCCTGAAAAATCTTTGCATTGAACAGTAACAACTTCTCCTCTTCATAATTTTGAGCGAAGTCAAATGAACTTGTGAATCATCAAATGAGATTGTAAATGGATGAGTTGCTAAATCATGTGAATGACGATTATACCGGTTAGAGGTTCGAAGAGTGTTATGGAAGAACAAAGTTACGCCAGTGAAAGGCAGCCCCACCCCCCCCCCCCCCCCAAAACGAAAAAAACAAAAATGCCGGCATCAACTATGCGCATTTCGCAGGTGTGCCCGCCGACGATTCAAGCATGGCCGTTCCCTAGCGCGCTGTCGACATCAGCACGCCCACTGATCTGACAACCTCGCCGCAGGTTTGTTTAGCCGAGAGAGAGAGAGAGCGTTAGCGGTGAAGAGGGTAATAGCTACGAGAGTTGTATCTATGGAGAATCCAACTATCGAGGAAGAGATCCCATCTCTCGAGTTCTATGCCATTTTTCTGGTTTTTTGCTTTCCCCCTCTATCGCTACGCGTTCTCAAAGCGGTTCCTTGATATTCGGGCCGAGTCGGCTCACCACACTGACAGTCTTCACAAGTCCCATCCCGTTTTTAAAAAGCGCCAGGACCGGTATTGTTTCGTTCTCAAATCTGACCTAGAACATCGTACCTGAAGCAAGCGGATTTTTCCTCATCAGAAGGGAAATCTCTAAATTTCTTATGAGAAAGATCATAGTACTGCGAATTCTGAAAGTGTTTGGTTATGCAGCGAGTGAATAATTTGGGTCTCATCCAGTAGCCGATTGAAAAAAAAGGATGAATGCGGTAATGGCTAGTGGCCAGGCCACTGGTGAGGCCCAATCGCGCTCTCGTGAAACTGAATCGAATTGGAATGCATGGCGCATCCTAGAAAGATCTGTTCAGTGTCCGATTGTTGATTCTTTATGCTTTTATTTTTTGATCTGAAACAAAAAAAAAACGAACTAGCTCAAGCTTTTCGGGTCTGAGGAAGTCTTTAGAAGCCGGATGCTCGAAAGTTTAGGGTGAAGCTTATTATTTTGGAGGTGTATTTGTCGAATATAGAGCTAGAAAACTATAGAACTCCTCAAAACTGCTGAAGAACACCTAATTGCTGTCAGTCTTTTGCACAATTATTATTAGGTTGTCTCATAAATAGTGTCGCTTTTTTTCAACCAAAAAATTTTGATCTAAATCCCCATGCTTTTACATCGAGTTATATACCATTCGAAAGAGAATTGTCTGCTCTACAAAATATCGTGTTCTTCTTCCATCTATGTTCCATGGTTTTCAAATTTTAGGCCTGCGAAATGGGAGGTCCCGCCGACAAAAATTGACCAAACCGACAACTAGCTCTAACTTTATGTTCCCTTCGGAGAAATCAATCAATGATGTACCCTCTACTTATGCATGACCTCTTCTAAACATTACACTATTAGGTTTCCCAACAAGTCGCGTCATTCCATTTCCAGACCTGGTTTTTCAACCAGAACTCGACGGTTGAGCACCATTACCTGAGATCGAGGTCGAAATTTTTTTACAGCCGAGACATTGAAAAACTAGTAGAATTTCAAAGAACAAGTCGTGACTAAGTTAGGAATGTACGCCTGGTTGGTTTTCTCATCTCCTCAAGGATAATTTCTTTCAAAGAAATGCGGTCACTTTTGTGGACAAAGCACCTTACTCCTAAACCCTAAAATTCGAGCTAATTCCTAACAAACATCAAAACAAAACAAATGAGCGAATAGAGCAGAAGAAGTGCTCACAAAAGATATACCAGTTGATATAAAACAATAGCGTTTCAGAGGAAGAATTTCAATTTGAAAATTGCCATGGCTTATCGGTCGGCCAATTCGAAAAGAAACAGGCAAACTTTTTCGGCAACCTAAGGGTGGAATGTTCAGAAGAGGTCATGAGTAAGTAGAGGGTACATCATTGATTGATTTCTCCGAAGGGAACATAAAGTTAGAGCTAGTTGTCGGTTTGGTCAATTTTTGTCGGCGGGACCTCCCATTTCGCAGCCTTAAATTTGAAAACCATGGAACATAGATGGAAGAAGAACACGATATTTTGTAGAGCAGACAATTCTCTTTCGAATGGTATATGACTCGATGTAAAAGCATGGGATTTAGATGAAAATTTTTTGGTTGAAAAAAAGCGACACTATTTATGAGACAACCTAATACATCACGGTGAACTGCAACTCCTTCGCAATCCACAACTTACCCCATATGGACATAAATGCGGCAAAGAAAGCATTTAACTCATTATCAAACGACTTCATGAACCAAGACGTCACGGTTGTGAAGAGTTGAGCGAGTCTGAAAAGGAGGTATCTATGAAATCTGTGGATTCTGCGCATTCATATCGTCATCGTCAACTACAATTGTAATGAACGAGTTCAGGTAAATAAAAGGTGTGATACAAAAATAGATCTGAAACTATTGAAAGATAGTTCGGAAGTTTTCATCGAAATCAAACGAACTGGCTTCTGAAGCTACAAGGCACAATGATGGAATCACCATGATAATTGATCAACGTGCAGTTTCCGTCACCGGTTGCCGGATTAGAGCGGACACTGAATTCAAAAAGTAGTTTATGTAAGAAAATCGGAAAAAAATTACAAAACATTCGCAAATGGAATAATTCCGATTGAAAACTAGAAGTTTTTCCTCTTCACGCACCCGCCCGAAAGCGAAAAAACGGCCAGACCAAAGAAAGTGGCTGGCCAGAGCATTGTGAGAAATGTCCCTTGCCAGGCGAAATAGAATGCGATCTGTTCCCCAAAATAATCACGAACGAGTCCCAGTGGTTGGAAACGAAGGAATCTGAAGTGTAGACGAATGAGCTGGA